ATCTATTTATGCTTAATCCCATCAAATTGGTGGTAATTCGATAGTCATCTCTTTTGAGAAAACATCATATTGCTACAACAATAAAACACATACACTAGATAAAATTATCAAATTTATTAGTAAAAAAACTGACTTATTTGTATCACCATAAAAAGATTGATATATATTTTATTTTTTTTACAAAAGCACTCTTTCTCTTATTTCATTTTTTTATAAAAACACTACTTTTGTTTTTATCTTTTTGAAACATACCGTCTCAATTTTAAAAAAAAAGAAGAGGTACTTATATAAATTAAAAAAGATAGAGTACACTTTCCTTATTCTTTTCTTTGCGTTGCAAACACTCCTTTTCTTTAATCAATTGTCCATATGTTTTTGATGAATTTTTTAAGTTAAGAATAGTGCTTTAAGGAGAAAAGAGTGTCACTCATTACAAAGAAAATTTTTATTTGGGTTCCTAAGGTATGCTCACAACTCAAATAGATAAGAACGTTGAGTCTTTGTAAGTTCTAATTCTTAAACAATGTGTCTTTTAGAGTTCTGAGTATAAATTTAAAGATTTTACTATTGAAGTTAATTCTACATTTTTGTTAAATTTCATTAATATTCTGATTTATAGACTTGCACTTTTCTCACGGTTCTGAAGTAGTCCTAGAAAGCGACTTAATTAGTTTCCACTTAATGACATATCTTTATAATTATCATTTCTATTATTTATCAAGTATTATTGCCTAAAATTATTTGTTTGAAAAAATAAATCTTAAATTTATTTTTTGATTATATGAAGGCTTAATGCAATATACATGTTGTTTAATTATATGAATTTATTTGAAAAGTGTGAAAGGAATAATTATTTTAATTTTATTTGATGATATTTAATTATGAGACATGCCTTGAGAGTTTTATTATTAAAACAAATTTGATTTGTGTACAAGAATAACTTTCTACAACATAAATACTTTTTGGAGATGAGTATAAATTTCGAGAGGAGGTGAACCTAGTTGCATTTTGAAAGGAGAAGACTACCTGTTAGATGAAGATGCTAGTGCACATAGAGAACTATTAATGAAGTAGAGATGTTACCATTGAGATTAATTACTATATAATCTATGCAAGGAGAGCATTTCATTATGTGAACTTTTAATCATGACCAAATTTTTGAAAGATTATGCGTTTTATTTGAATCATTTTGTTTGTAAAATGATAAGTCTTAAAGTAAGTTCTTTGATTGCAAACTACTTGTGTGTTATTTACTTCTCGTTCTTATTCATTGTGGTTATTATGTCTTCATCGAGTCTATGTCACTCACACCCTATTTATTTACTACCAATACATCACGCAAAATGTCATCAACATATTTACCAAATGAAAAAGTGATCATTACTTATTTATGCACATTTGTTTCACGATAATCATTCAACCAATGTAACATATATGCTTTAGGATATTTTTCTTATTATTAATTTTGATTTTTCAAATACAATGGTTCAAACAACATTATATAATAACCTCCATAGTACACACTTTATTTTGGACATCATTCCTTTAACTTGACTTGAGTGCTTAAAGTCCTTCTCACCCTAAGAGTTCCTCTTTCTATATTATACTCTACATCTCAAGCGTCTACATCTTCCTTACAATTTTTATTGTTAGTATTAATCTTCTCACTTGCTTTCAAAGTCAACCTTATTGTTTGCTTGTTGTGATACTATATGACTTGCTCTTTATCACTTAATATTGCTACTATTTAAATGTTTAGATTGAAGTTTACCTTTTGATTTGGAAGATGGTCTGGACTTTGCTTTTATATTAACATTGTCTTCTTTCTTCCAGCTTTATCTCTAAGAGAAGTTTAAATTAAATTGTATCCTTACTACTCCATTCAACTTTAGTTGCATCTGCACCTCAACAGTCATGTGCACCCTGTCTTTCATCTTCACATAGTGTTGCAGCTTTATCACATTTGTAATTTTTTTTTTTTTGCCTAATCCATTTAGAAATCTAGTCATTGTATTTATACTGTCATCCTCTATCTTTGCTTTGATCATAATTACTTTCATTTATTTGTCGTAGTCTTTCCATACCTTTGGAACCATGTTTCAAACTTTAGTTTTTGATATAGGTCTCTATAATAGTACCCTTATACAAATCTCTTTCTAACGAGTGATTTAAATTCATCCTAAATCTTTGTTGGTCTTTCTTGGTTCCTCCTCAAGTCATCCGTTAATCTCACCAAATAATAACATAATTAGTAAATTCAATAATTATTAACCTAACCTTGTTTTCTGTAGTGTAATTGCGACAATAAAAAAACTCAATTTCCTTCTCCCATTCTAGGTACTCTTCGAGGTCATTTCATCATTGAAATTGTGTAATTAGTCTTAATATGGGTAAGGTTTTCATTAATTTTTTCTTTGTTACAAGTAGTTCTCCTATGATTTCTTTTTTAGTTCTAAAATTTTATCTTAAATGTTTATAACCTTCATCTCATTCTCCTTCACTTGAAAATCCAATATCACCTTTACTCTCATTTATTGCTCTTCTTTTATCTTTACACTCTTGAATTTTCTCTTCCTCACGACCTTCAAATTTTCTCTTGTTGTCTATCCATTTGTCTTGCATATCTTCAAGCACTATATTCAACCTCTCAAATTGTTGTTATATCACTTTCAAGAACATATGGTTAGATTCCTACCCTTAATTTGTGATGCTAAAACCTTCATACAAAAATGTTAATTAAAAATTGAAAGGGCCTCATAATAATTTCTTATGTCTATACCTTCAAGTAATTATCATAGTCACTCATGTTTCATACTTATATCATAACCACGTAAGGCAAAACATTGGTCAATGGTCTGAGCCTCCTTGTAACAATGGTCATACTTAAAGCGGGAATGATGTTTTCCTGGTTTGCAAGAATGAGCACAATCACTAATTTGTGAGACTAAGGTAGAGAAATCTGAAAAAGTAGAATAGGAGATGCATCCATTGAAGTAGATGAGATTTTAGCTAGTATCAATAGTATGGTGGACCACATAGAATCCTTAGTAGGTACAGTAGGCAACCCCAAAATTTGATCATGAATAACAAAATACTCTATAGGCAAACTATACAAAGCAAATAACATAAAATTTGTTGACAATTTTCATGGTCCTTACTTATTGAGGTAGAAAGGGGTAAGACTTCATTCAAGTTGTGGAGAATGTTGGTCACTCAACCAAAATTAATAGTCATAGAACCATCAAATCATTGAAGAACAAAAACATCGATGAGATTTTGATAAATCCCGTAAAGGTGTTAAGTGCCATTGGTATACAAGTCTTTAGTTTCTGTCCAAATAGACTCACACATCTCATGAAGGTGAAAAATTTATATCAAAGAAGGACAAATGATGGATTTAATAATATTATAAAGTTGAGCATTAATTTTACTCGATTTAGGTTATTTAATAGCATCCACACAATCCTCCTTAGTAGTGAGATTATTAAGATAACATTGATCTTTGAGCAAAAATTTCATGTCAAAAACCTACGTGTTGGCGATAATGTGGCTAGGAGGGAGAAACTCAAAGAGGAAAGAGTGCACGGAAGGGCATATGAGACAATTGGTTGGCGCAAAACTTCAAGGATAGATTGAATTGAGCAAGATGAACCAGATCCAATGGTTGTTGCTAGAAAAAAAGAAATATATGTCAGAAAAGTCGCTACAATAGTACAAGTGATGATTAGATGTCCATATAGCCAAAAACTTAATACAAAGAAAAACTTTTGGAAAAATATTTTATACTAATTTAATTTGCTATTATTTATTGCAGTTTAGCATGAAAAAATCAACAATAAATTAAAGAAACATTTTAGTTACATTTGGAGAAAATTTGATAGAAAAGAAGGCCACGCATAGTAAGATGGCACGACCTTACTTAACAAGCAGCTTGAGAGTGCTTTGTGATAATGCATGATTATACTGGAGGCTAGCATGACCATGCTTCTTCCATGATGTAACTTATTTGGAGATTTTCAGGAGAAATGTAAAAGAGAATTTTAACATTGAATTTGACAATAGAAAATCATATCATTCTCTATTGATAAATCATATTTTGGTTAGAGATAAAACATATCTTTTGGAAGATAAATTATTATTTTTCTTGAATTTTACACTTAATATAAAAGGCCACACACACTCGATACAAGGACACTTTTTGAAGTCTAAGTAAGTGATTGGGAGTGCTTTTTGAGAACAATAATTCTTTTCATCTCTTTTTCCTTGGAATTCCTTTAGTTTACATTACTTTTTGAATGAATATAAATTTCTTTGTAATTGTTTTCCCTTCTTATTTCATTCTGAGTAGTTAAATCCATTATTAGGCTATGGTGGATCATTTGTACAATTGTGTTTTCCTTTTTATATTGGTTTTACTCTTATGTGTTTATATCTATATGTTTAGAATTGATTACTTTTTATATTGGTTTTGCTCTAGTGTTTATATCTATATTTCTTTAGACAATTGTACTACATGTAGTTAATGGAACTATAAGATAAAATGAGACAAAAAAATTAAGTAAATCAAACTTAGTTTTTCTCTTTCAATCAGTTATTAAATTAACAAATTCATAAACTCTTTATATTATCATTTCTTTTTGCCTTGCATGATCATTAGAGCTAATAATTTAGGTAAAATAATGCTAACATTGCATGATCATTAGGTTTTAATAGTTTTAGTATGAGTGGTTAGCTGTAATGGGTTCTGTCAATTCAATTCCTACCAGCAGAGTATAAAGTCATAAAAAGCATATAAAAGAAGATTTCCTCTAGTTAATTTATATTCAATGGTAATGATCAGCCCTGCAATGAGGAATTACACCAGAAAAGTAAGGAAGTGCAGTACAGAATTTAGGAAATCACAAATAAAAGAAGGAAAGACAAACAAAAAGAGAGAGCAAAGAGGTTCACCCAAAATCTACCTACCCCCTCAAACTCTTTGCCCACTACATATATTATTATTAATTATCCCTAAACCATAAGGGAACCCGAGTTACACGTTTGCTATACTTAACTGCATTATTCTGCCCACTATCCTCCACCATAACATTACCCTCCCCTTTAAGCTGGACCTTGTCCATAAGGTCAACTAGAGCAGTCAACGGCAACGGAATGATATTAGGAGTAGGATCACCACGACAAGGCTTCAACAACGAGATATGGAAGACAGGGTGGATTTTGGCATAAGAAGGGAGCTCGAGATGATAAGCAACAGTACCAATACGAGATAAGACTTTAAAGGGACCAAAATAACGCATCCCCAATTTTTGTTGGTGTTGTAAACGAACCGAATGTTGACGATACAATTGGAGCTTGACAAAGACAAAATTACCCACATTAAATTGAAGTTCAGTACGGTGGCGATTAGTGTAAAGTTTCATACAATTTTGTGCTTTGAGAAGGTTGCCTTTGAGTTCTGAAAGTAACAAATCACGCTGCTGGAGTTGAGTTTGAATATCTGGAGGAGTACCATCATGAACAAACAAGGGGACGATGCTGGGAGGGTCGCGACCGTACAGTACTTTGAAAGGTGTCATACCATTTATGGGGGTAATCTGAGACAAAACAACACAAATACATCTCAAGGCATTTGTTCACAGATTCTGATTGACCATCCGTCTGTGGATGGTATGCAGAGCTCATTTTAAGGGATGTACCTTGAAGCTTAAAGAGGTGTTGCCAAAAAGAGCTAGTGAACACCTTGTCCCTATCGGATATAATGGAGCTTGGAAAGCCATGTAATTTGACCATAATAGATAGAAAAACAACAGCCACCTGAACCGCAGTAAAATTAGAATGCAAAGGGGCAAAGTGAGCATATTTGGATAAACGATCGACCACCACAAAGATAACAGTGTAACCCTAAGATGCGGGCAACCCGGTGATAAAATCCATTGCAATATCTTCCCAAACTTGGGACGAAACAGGTAAAAGACTAAGCAATCCAGCTGGAGAGGTTTGAACATGTTTTGCGTGCTGGCATACTTGACAAGTTCGCACAAAGTCTCGAATGTCAGAATGCATTTGATCCCAATAGAAGTGATCAGGAACACTAGAAAAAGTACGTAAGAACTCAGCATGGCCACCCAATCTCGATGAATGGAATTCCTGTAAAATGAGGTGGACAAGCGAACGGTCTGCAGATGGAATGAAGATGCGGTTCTTGTAAAATAGCAAACCATCCCGCATAGAGTATTGCGAAAATGCCAAAGGATCCGACAAAAATTTTGAAATCAGTTGCTGCAAATTAGATGATAGAGCAAGAGCGGCATGAATGTTATCAAGGGGTGATGATCGCGGGAGGGACAATGCCATCAAGAAAGAACGAGATAAAGCATCAGCGGTTGCATTTATGGGTCCGGGTTTGTATTCAATAGAATAAGAATACCCCAGAAGTTTAGGTAACTAGGCTTCTTGCTCCGGTGTTTGGATAGTCTATTCCTGTAAATGCCGCAAACTACGCTGATCCGTACGGATAATGAAGTGGTGACCCAACAGGTAGTGTCGGAACTTAGCAACAGCTTCAGTAATCGCATAAAGTTCCCGAACATAAGTCGACTATTTCTGCATATGAGAAGAGAGCTTCTTAGAGAAGTAAGCAATTGGATGTCCTTCTTGCGCCAACACCGTACCTATTCCCTGACCCGAGGCATCTGTTTCCAAGACAAATGGCTTGGAAAAATCAGGAAGAGCAAGTATAGGTGCCTCCAACAAAGTAGCCTTAAGGGAATCAAAAGCTGTTTGTGCACTCGAAGACCAAGCAAAGCGATCCTTCTGCAGCAAATCTGTCAACAGTCTAGCAATCTTAGCATACTGCTTAATAAAGCGGTGGTAATAACCTGACAAGCCCAAAAAAGCACATAACTGAGTAACCGTAGTTGGAGCAGGCCAATCACGCACTGCACTCAGTTTGGAGGGATCCATTTCAACACCATGTTGAGACACAAGATGGCCTAAATAATCCACCTGAGTTTGTCCAAAAGAACACCATGCAAGACCATTGATAAGTGTTCCAAGTGAAGGGGCCAAGTGGGACTATAGATGAGAATGTCATCGAAGAAAACGAGAACAAATTTACACAAGAAAGGCCAGAATAGATCATTCATAACTGCTTGGAAAGTGGCCAGAGCATTGGTGAGGCCAAATGGCATTACAAGCCATTCATACAAACCATTATGAGTGCGAAAAGCAGTTTTGTGGCGATCTTCAAGACGAACTAGAATTTGATGGTACCTGGATCGAAGATCCAATTTCAAGAAGAACACAGAACCGCGCAACTCATCCAAAAGTTCATCAACCGTGGGAATTGGAAAGGAGTCTTTGATCGTAACTGCATTCAAAGCCCAATAGTCAATACAAAATCTCTAAGAACCATCATGTTTCTTGACCAATAAAACTGGGACAGAGAAAGGAGAAGTATTGGGTGCAATCGTCCCCTGAAAAAGCATATCATTAACCATGCGTTCAATCTCTGTCTTTTGTGCAAATGGGTAACGATACGGTTTGACTTTAACCGCAGTGACCCCATCCTGAAGAGGAATTGCATGATCCTGAGGATGGGCAAGAGGCAAACCTTTGGGCAAGTGGAATACGGAAGCGAACTGGTGCAGGACAGATAATAAATCAGGAGGCAAGTTTGGAGGAAAAGGATTCTCATCCGTAACTTATTGTTCAAGAGAGTCACAGTGCAAAAGATACAATTCTGAAATCTGAGCAAAAGAATGATAGCGCTGCAAATGATTGAAATGAGCATATTGAGGCATCGAGGAAGTGTCCCTCTGTAAGGTTACAAACTCACCACCAGAGAAAATTTTAATGCAGCCAGTACTATAATCCGCAATATGAGGACCCAGAGTGGCCAACCAAGAAGCACCAATGACAACTTCAGAGCCACTTACCGCCAAGACATAAACGGGAATAGTAATAGTATGACCTGAAATTGAAATAGATAAAGCAGGGATATAACCCTCAGTTTGTAGAAAAGACCCATCACCCACCATGACCTTCAGGTGAGGCAAAGGTTGCACCGGAAGATGTAATGAATGCACCAAGCGCGGCTGAATGAAACTGTCAGAACTACCTCCATCAAGTAGTACACGGACAGGCTTACCGGAAATTGCGCCCTGAAAATAAAGGGTTGCTCTGCTAGGAGAACCCCGAAAAGCGTTCAAAGAAAGATGGTAAAGGGCAGCTTCAGAATCCGGGGAAACGTCGGGAGGCTGTGGTAGGGGCAGATCCTCCTCAAGCTCAAAAAGTAAATGCTGTTTATTTGGACAACGGTGATTCCAAGTATATTTTTTGTCGCATGTAAAACATAGTCTCTTTTCCTGACGTAATTGTTGTTTGGCCGAGGACATACGACGAACAGGATGTGACAGCTTGACAGGCGGTGTGGGTAAAAGCGGTGGTAAAACAGAAGGAGAAGGCGTTGATGAAGAGGATGGCCCCTTAGTAGATGAAGAAGGAGCCGTGTTTAGGTTGGATCGCACAAAAGGAGTTTTTGGGGTCGAAACCGAAAAGCCCACAGTATCTTGTTCATTAAACAAACGGGCTTGAGCAACTGCCTTAAGCAAAGCTAAAGGTCCCTAGGCAACGACCTTTCGCCGAATCGGGTCCTTCAACCCACTGAGGAAACAATCAAGTAACGCTTCATTAGTGAGTCATTCACTATGGTTAGCGAGGAGCATGAATTCATTGTAGTAATTGGAGATGGAAGAAGTCTGAGCCAGTTTAAAACGCTTGGGACGAGCATTGTCAAACGACGAAGGACCAAACTGCGATTCAATGGCAGTGGCCAAAGCAGCCCATGACGGCAATTGATTCATTCGTTGAAGCATTTGGAACCATGGAATAACTAAACCTTGAAAATGAACGTCAAATTTTGGAAAATCTAACTTCACATGCCACATCTGCAAAGGAGGAACCAAAGATGAAGGTTTGGGTTCAGCCTCAGAGTTTATCGCTCCATTTGACGGATCAGAAGAAAATGATGAAAGATTAAGCGTGAGTTGTTCCAATGTTTGTTGTATTCCGGTCATTTGCGATTCAAACTGAGACATTCTGAGACCCAAATCGATGCCCTTACGATCTTGCGCCTCAATCGCATCAAATGCCTTTTTCATGTCAGTTTGTAACTCCTTGAGTCTAGTGTTTTCCGCCATTGGAGTGAATGAAAGCACCAAATTGTAATGGGTTCCGTCAATTCAGTTCCTACCAGCAGAGTATAAAGTCGTAGAAAGCATATAAAAGAAGAATTCCTCTGGTTAATTTATATTCAATGGTAATTATCAGCCCTGCAGTGAGGAATTACACTAGAAAAGCAAGGAGGTGCAATACAGAATTTAGGAAATCACAAATGAAAGAAGGAAAGACAAACAGAGAGAGAGCAAAGAGGTTCACCCAAAATCTACCTACCCCCTCAAACTCTTCGCCCACTACATATATTATTATTAACTATCCCTAAACCGCAAGGGAACCTGATTTACACGTTTGCTATACTTAACTGCATTATTCTGCCCACTATCCTCCACCATAACATTAGCAATCATAAGAAAACCAAGATTAAGATTAAACTAAAAGTGAACATAAAGAGGTGAATGGTAGAAACCAAAAGACCAAAATTTATCTTAAATAGTTTCGTGTTAATAGTTGTACTATCCTCTTTTTATTTGATTACTCTTCTTAATTTAAATCTTTTATAAATTTCTCTTATGTATTTTTTAAGTTCAAATAATTAAATCACGATAGTCTTGATAATTGGAAATAATCTCTCTGTAAGACAATATTCTAGGAACTCAATTTAAATATCTCTTTATTACTTTTCAACAAATACACTTGCACACGAACACTAATGCTTCAAAAAATGTTGTCTTTTATTTTATTTTGGCAATAATTTTATAACTAGCATGGATTGTAGGTAAAATATTGTTGTCAAAATGAATAAGCAATGACTTGTCAACATTGTTAAAATAATTGCCTAAGCTTTAGACAACATTTTTTTCACTTTTAAGAAGTATTTTGTATTGTTTCTTAAACACAAAAATCTTATAGTAATGTTTTTATAATACTTAAATTAAATAGTAATAATCATTTTATCTTAATTGGTATTGCTTTCTTTCTAAATTTTTTATTTTTGTTATTATTGATTTGTTTATGATAAAAAAAAGTTTTTACAATTATCTTGGATGAATGACTAAGGAATAAAAATTTGATGCCACTGAAATGTCAACATAAATGAATTTTGATGGATGTGATATTTTTTTTTGTCTTGGACAATTTATATTATTAATTATTCCAATTTGTAGGTTTTAAGGTCAATAACATTATGTAATTAGAGGTTTTGAGATGTAGTATTCTACTTACTATATGCAAATATTGTCAAGTTAGGTGATAAGTAATTGTTGTTAAGTGATTAATGTAAATTGGTTGATGAATGTATCAACCATCTTCTTACGTAAATTGATATAACGATTGCATTAAAATTTAATAAATAGAAAGTGCATGTTCTACTTTCACTTGTGATTTACTTTTATACAATCTTTTGTGTAAAGTTTTTTATATGTTTTTTAAAAATATAAAGTAAGTGTAATAAAAAGTAAACTAAGTCTAGAGTCTAATATGATGTCAAGTAGCAAAATATCATTTCTAGGGGTAGTCATTGATAGGATTGATATAAAACAAATCTAAATTCATTTATAAACTAGTTGTATGGATTGGATCTTAAAATTACTACTTCCTTTATTATTTTAAAATAATATTTAAATATAATTTTAGTTCAATCTATTATGCTTAATTGAGATGTAATCTTTATATGTTACTTTTCTTCCTTTTTTTTTTCTGAACTTTTCTCCTTTATTAGCTTTAACTTTTAATAATGAAGGAATTATGGAAGGTAGAAATTTAATTGCAAAAATCAAATTACAAATTCAATCCAATCAAAAACATCTATTGGACTAGAAAATCTAGTATAATAATAATCCAATTTTTTAAAACCAATTTTACTTTGGTTAGGGATTGGACCTTCATAACTATATTTTTTTCTCAAGCCTAGTCATTCTAACTCAAAATATTTCATATTAGTACAAATATCATATTATGATTTTAGTTTGGATTTTATTACAAGACCAAATAGATTTACTTAGTCTTCTTCCCATGCATTATAACATAAGGATTTTTCTATTAAAAGTTTATTGGCAACTTATTAATACAAATTTCTTATCATGTTATTTAAGAGTGAAATTTTTCCTCTTTAAAACTTCTATGCCCTTTTTGTGTTCTTTAAAGGTTTAAGATAGTTCTTTTGAAAGCTTTTAAATGAAATATCTTAATCATCCATAATTTTTTTTATCAAAATTAATGAAATATGTTATTTCCTATCACACGAATTTTTTTATCCAATATTATTATTGATATTGACACCAACTCCTTTTTCTTTTGTAAAATTTAACTTTTTCACATATTCATAACATTATCCCTTAAGAATGGATGTGACTCCATTAGAAAGACAAACTCAAATAGCTTGATTGGATACACAAATTTCCACCATGCTAAGAAAACCCTAGTAGACAAAAGAGATGACTTATTGAAATTTTAGCTATAAATAAGTAATAATATCTAAATTACAAAAATAAAATTATATATATTTCATAAGAAGATAACTATATATGAAATTATATAAATACTTATTTCCTTGTATTAGATGCATGTATCAAAATGATAAAAAAAATGTACTTTTCAATTTTTTTTATAGTAATCCTACAAATAATAGATGTCATGCATATTGGTCCCTTATTTAAATTACCCCGTTAGTTTCTCACATATTAAGTCATTAGGCAATTAAGTTTTCATTGTTACAAATACCTGAAAAATATTACTTAACCTCTGAGTAAGCACTCTCCTCCTTACCTAGATTTGGCCAATTTTTTATGCAATTGTTTTATGACCCTTGTTCTTTCTTCCTAACTTGAGCTTTGAACATTCAAAGGTATTTTCCTAACCTCCTTTGAATCTCTGTTTCACGCAAAATTGCTGGAGTCCTAGGGAAAACTTTGAAAATGACTTAAAAAGCATGGTTTTAGGTGGAGTATATAGTGAAAGTGACTTGTGTGGTCCTTGGTGGCGTATGGACCTCAAATTTGTAGGAGTACCAAGGGGATTTGGTTGATATTTTTTTAAAAAGAAATCTAGTTCTTTCACGAGTACTTCTTTGTTTCATGTTCGGAGGGAAAGTGTACCCATCGAGAAGTAATAAAGGGTTCTTTAAATTAAGTTCCCAAAATATCGTCTCACAAGGATTGATTTCCAATTACTAAGAATTTTCTAATTTAATTGTTTAAGCTTCAAAGATACGAGATTAATTAAAAATAAGAATTTATAAAATCAATTATAAAACTAAGAGCAAGGAATACAATGCACGTCTTGGTTAAACTTATCGAAGAGGAACCTAGGGCATATGAGTTTTCTCATTCAATCCTTTATGTTATTTTTCTGTTTAACTCTAAATTCAATTTTCTTGTGATTACCAATCATTCATATGAATATTATTAATACCCAATGTTCATGTAATATCAATATTATTTTCGCTAAATTAACATCCTCAATGGTCATGCAAGACATCAATTTAAGAAAGTTTAAGGAGCCTATGAACTTGTTAATTTAATAACGATTAGAAGAGAAAGATTGGTTTAGTCCACCTAATCCTTTGTCTCATTTTACCCTATAGATCTATTAATTAATCGAGGTACGGTTGTCTGACGATATAACTAATTTAGGATTAAGAGAGAAGTGGAATAGGATAAAATCTAATCACAGAACAGAAATCAAATTCAGATTCAAACATCAAAATCCCATAAATTCATGAACAAAGAGAGAAGTGCAATAGGATAAAATCTAATCACAAAATAGAAATCAAATTCAGATTCAAACATCAAAATCCCATAAATTCATGAACAATAGTTCCCATAGCCCTAGCTATGGACTTAGTTACTCATGCTAAAGAAAAGAACTAAAACAATCATAAACAAAGTCATAAAGAAAAGAAATAGCAAAACTAGAGTGTGATGAATTCCCAGTCTTCAAGTACGGTCGCTTGAAGCTTCAAGTCTTGCCAAAAGTGTGACAAAGATCCCGTGCAAGAGAGACGAGATGAAATGTATCCCAGAGCAAAAGCCAATGTAAAACGGTGTATCTCCAATGGTGCCTCCTGTCTTTCTTTTAATAGGGTTTGAAAACCCTAAAAACACTAATTAATTGGGCTTCCTGCAGTGCTTATTGAATGGGTCTAGGCGTGCCAACTGCTGCGAAGCTCTAATCTTTCATCAATTTGGGCCTAGAATGCACCCAAAATCGACTTACGGCCTCTTTATACCAAACTGCACAACTAATATATAAATTAATGTAAAACTCAAATAAAATAAAGGTCAAATATGAATATATAGGCTGTAAAAAAGGGCCTAATTATAGACTTATCAACTCCCTCATACTTATCTGTTTGCTTGTCCTCAAGCAAAGTACTGGTTAAGAGTAACATAATAACTTAAAACATAATACCACACAATGAACCCGAGATGAGGAGATAAAGAGAGCAACAAGAGTAATATCACTGAGCATAAGCAATCAAAAGGATTCCCAATTAGAATCTTATATTTCCATACTTTTCACTCAAACATCAAACTGAGGTACTCTACTTTCCTCTCTCACTAAGGGATAAAATAAGATATCACTCAGTTCTCCTAAAGAAGAGTGTACTACCATAGGCTTGACTATAAACCGACTATCCACTAAATAAATTAAATGCAGGTAAAAATCATGAGGTCTTTTTTAGGTTATAATGTGGCCAAGGGATTATAATAATTGAGGTGAGATAAATGAAAGAAAGGGGATATATAAAGGGGTAATAAATTATAAAAATTATAAACATCTCCTAAGTTTACAAATGAAGCTCTTGGAGTAATTTTTATATTTTTGTATATAAACAATATCTTTACTCTTTTCTCCTTTCAATCATATATAACCTCTTTTTCTTTTTCTTATTTTTTTTCCTTCTATTTTTCATTTTCATTTTCATACTTTCTTTCTTTCTTTTTGCACATGAGAGATATAGAGGAGAATTTAACAAACAATTCAACAACTTAATTGCTCCATTCATAAACTCAAGGTCATC